ATATTGCTGCACTCTAACAGCACCTTTCAAGGCAGGTGAAATTGCCGACCTAGAAAATGTACAGAGAACTTTCACGGCGCGCATAACGGAGATAAAACACCTCAATTACTGGGAGCGCTTGAGGTTCTAAACCTGTATTCCCTGGAACGCAGGAGGGAGAGATACATGATTATATACACCTGGAAAATCCTAGAGGGACTAGTACCGAACTTGCACACGAAAATCACTCACTACGAAAGCAAAAGACTTGGCAGACGATGCACCATCCCCCCAATGAAAAGCAGGGGTGTCACTAGCACGTTAAGAGACCATACAATAAGTGTCAGGGGCCCGAGACTGTTCAACTGCCTCCCAGCACACATAAGGGGGATTACCAACAGACCCCTGGCAGTCTTCAAGCTGGCACTGGACAAGCACCTAAAGTCAGTTCCTGATCAGCCGGGCTGTGGCTCGTACGTTGGTTTGCGTGCAGCCAGCAGCAACAGCCTGGTTGATCAGGCGCTGATCCACCAGGAGGCCTGGTCACAGACCGGGCCGCGGGGGCGTTGACCCCCGAAACTCTCTCCAGGTAAACTCCAGGTAATATCTTTTTATTGTAACTGCTTTTACACAGTTAAGATACTTAACTATTTTTAACTCTTAAATATAAATTATAATTATCACAAGGACTCCAATAGAAATAAGTCACTATGTCATGAATTCCCTGCTATGTTTGTTAACTGCTCATTACTCTGTAATTTGTCTATGATTGTAATCATGTGATAACGTGTTTATCATTCATTACCTTTGAAACTTGTCATGATTTTGACCAGCTCTACCTGGAGCTCATTACCTTTGTAAATTCTCATGATTAATGTGTTTATGATTCATTACCTTTGCAATTATTCATGAGTGTGACCAGCTCTACCTGGAGCTCATTACCTTTGTAACTTGGTCATGATTATGACCAGATCTAGTTCATTACCATTGTAACTTGCTCAGCTATCAAAACTTTGGAGTCCAGTCCCTGGACCAATTATGTACCTCTGTAATATTTTGACTACCGCCCACAGGATGGGTATGGGGTGCATAATAAACATATTAAACTAACTAACTGTCTGACTTTTTTGGGTTATCCTAGGCTCATTACACATATCCTGCTATGTAGGATAATCAGTGTAACTGTGTATACCTGAATAAACTTACTAAGGGTCATACAGCACCTTGGGAGATGGGATATATTCAGATTCAAAGTCACTTTGATATTTTTGGGGGGGTTATCCTAGGTAACCAACACATTCTGCTATATAAGACAATTTATGTAACTATTTATGTATACCTGTACCTGAATAAACTTACTGGAGGAAAGCAAAATTGTTTAGATCAACGACCCCAATGGAAATAGTCATTTTGTTCATTTTTTTAGTTATCCTAGGTAATTTACACTATCATAATTGCACTTATGCATTTTTTTTTTTCAACAAGTAGGCCGTCTCCCACCGAGGCAGGGTGACCCAAAAAAAAGAAAGAAAATCCCCAAAAAGAAAATACTTTCATCATCATTCAACACTTTCACCACACTCACACATTATCACTGTTTTTGCAGAGGTGCTCAGAATACAACAGTTTAGAAGCATATACGTATAAAGATATACAACATATCCCTCCAAACTGCCAATACCCCAAACCCCTCCTTTAAAGTGCAGGCATTGTACTTCCCATTTCCAGGACTCAAGTCCGACTATATGAAAATAACCGGTTTCCCTGAATCCCTTCACTAAATATTACCCTGCTCACACTCCAACAGATCGTCAGGTCCCAAGTACCATTCGTCTCCATTCACTCCTATCTAACACGCTCACGCACGCTTGCTGGAAGTAGGTAGTAGGTTGGTAGACAGCAACCACCCAGGGAGGTACTACCGTCCTGCCAAGTGAATGTAAAACGAAAGCCTGTAATTGTTTTACATGATGGTAGGATTGCTGGTGTCTTTTGTCTGTCTCATAAATATGCAAGATTACAGGCATGTCTTGCTACTTCTACTTACACTTAGGTCACACTACACATACATGTACAAGTTTATTTATACACACTCATCTGAGTTTTCTTTGATTTTATCTCAATAGTTCTTGGTCTTATTACTTTTCCTTTTTATATCCATGGGGAACTGGAATAAGAATTTTTCCTCCGTAAGCCATGCGTGTTGTAAAAGTCAACTAAAATGCCAGGAACAATGGGCTAGTAACCCCTTTTCCTGTAAAGATTACTAAAAAGAATAAGAACTTATGCATACCAGTACCTAAATAAACTTAAGAGCCTTGTGGGGGTGACTAAGATTATACATGTAGCTTAATAGCTCTGATATACATACTTTTTCAGACCAAAAGCTGGATTACACATTAATAGGGACATTTTTACTCTTCTAGTGTTTTATTGATTTTTTTACTAATGAGTTTTCCCAAAATATTTGTCAGCCAAACTTTTATTGTATTAATGTTGGTAGAATTATTGACAAAATGTTAGGTAAAAGGACACAAGTGCAACTAATGTGACATTTTATTGCGGCAACATTTCGCTTTATCAAGCCTAACGACTTGATAAAGCTCCTGGAGAGCGAAACGTTGCCACAATAAAATGTCACATTAGTTGCATTTGTGTCCTTTTACCTAACAAACTTTTATTATTTTATTTAAAAATTTATTTACACAAGTCACTCTTGCTCACATCAAGGACCTCAATGGAAACAAGTCACTGACTTTTTTTGGGGTTATCCTAGGTAATTTACATTATGTATAATAATTATACTTGTGTACCTGTGCCTAATTATTATAATCAAAACTATGAAGTAAACCACCAGAGGCCTGTGCCTAAATAAACTTACATATACATAGTTCTCACATCTCTGTATTAGAATATAAAAGGCCCTGGTTGGCAAAATCTCTCATTAAAAATACACAGATGTTGTATGTGTATTTCCAACACAGCAACACCATGGAATCTTGGTACAGAAAATACAAGATGCTACAACTCGATTACTAAATCTCTGAAGCACTGTTATGGGCATGACCTACTTTCACTAGTGGACCCCACCCATATGTGACCAAGTCTACTACTGCTTCATCACTACTTCTTCCACTACCTCCAGTACTACATTAACCTCTCGCTTCCTGCAGGAATCCACTAGTGGGCCCCACCTACATATAATCACTTATACTAGTGCTGGCATGCAGCCAACAGTAACTGCCTGGTTGATCAGGCCCTGATCCACCACAAGGCCTCGTCATGGACTGGACTGCATGGGCATTCACCCTCGGAACACCCTCCAGGTATAAGGACTCCATTCCCATACCTCTATGTTAGATTGATTAACCTTACGGGTGAAACATCTCAATAAAGATACCTAGGTGTAGCACGTGTATATGTGTCTTATTCTCAGCCTATCTAGGATATGACCCACAACAGTTGACCAACACCAAGGTATCCATTTACTGTTAGATGAACAGAGGCAGTAGTTTTATGCAGACTGCCCATACAACTTGCCCAGCTCAGGATGTGACCCACGACAGTCCACTAAAACACACTTTTACTGCTAGGTGATTATTATATTTAGCAAAAGACTCGGCAGGAGATGCAACATTCCCCCGATGAAAAGCAGGGGTGCCACGAGTACACTGAGAGACAACACAATAAGTGTCCAGGGCCCAAGACTGTTCAATTGCCTCCCAGCATACATAAGGGGGATTACCGATAGACCCCTGGGTGTCTTCAAGAAGGCACTGGACAGGCACCTAAAGTCAGTACCTGACCAACCAGGCTGTGGTTCGTACGTCAGCTTGCGTGCGGCCAGCAGTAACAGCCTGGTTGATCAGACCCTCATCCACCATGAGGCCTGGTCTCAGATCGGGCAGCGGGGGCATTGATCCCCGAAACCCTCTCCAGGTAAACTCCAGGTAAACCCATATTATTACAATTTATTTATTTATTTATTTATTTAAAATCAAAACAAAGTGCTAAACCCAGAAGGGTTCCAAACCTATAGGAGCCATACAGCACTATTTCTTGGAGAGCAGATTTGCCCAAGTCTCACTGCCCAGGTTGTAAGCTGAAGGTGCTATACAGTATATACTACTGAGCCACAAGCCACCTCTATTTTCTTACAAGAAATTTCCAGCAGCATTGTTTTTGCATGGAATGTCTTCCAGCAGGACTTGAGTTACATATGTATATCTCTCAGTAGAAAAGAAAATATAATTTCTCAGTCATATGGATTCATCAAAACAATCCATCTTTATTTTTGTTATTATTATTATTAGGAGGAAACACTAAACCAGTGGAGATCATGCATAACTACATTCCTGGGGGGAAAAGTAAACACAGGGGAGGTCATACAGTGTTTGGGGTAATAGGAGGCATTCAGGTTCAATCCAAAGAAAGGCATCCCATTCCTTGGGAAGGAGTCATAATGTACCTGGGAAATGAAAAGCATTAAGGTTCAATCTAAAGGGAGGACTCTTCTAATTTCCCAGACCAAGAGCCCATCATCATCATCAAGAAACCTCCCTCAAGAAGCTTATTTTCACATTCATGGGGAAGCACTAAACTCACAGCAGCTTTACTGTGCCTGGGAATTTAGACAGGAAGGAAAATGTAAAAAGAATTGAAATCTGACACAATAGACCAGTTTCAGCTAAGAAATCACAGTAATCAGAGATGAACAGTCAGTGAGGACCTACAGGTGTCAATAAAAAAAAGGGAGGGGGGGGGAGATGAATATGAACCTTACTAGCCTGTGATAAGCAGGACAATCAGTCAAAAGATAACAAACTATCAATAAAACACAGCATGTCAAAGAAAGACGTAGGCATATCTTCATGAGATGTCCACGTGTGAGGCATAAGACTGGTGTACAGGTTTGTGAGAACCGTTTCTCACAGCTGACAGCTTTGGAAGGAAATTGACCAAAAACAGTTTCATTTAGATTTATAAACACAACTCGCCTGGATATATAAACACAACTCAAGTTAAGTTTATGAATTATATTTCTATATTAAGCATGCAAAACATTCCCAAATGAAAATATCAAAATTTTATTTTAATAATAGATAATTGCAACTACAATATTTTCATGAAAAAAAAAATCACAACTGTAAACAAAATATGTATTCTTTACAATAACACACAGAAATATTATGCAATAAAATGTACGTATAAGAAATGCCTGTAAATAATAAATTATACAAATTTAACTCAATATGATTCTTCCCATGTAATTGCAGACTAAGTCAGCACAGAATGCAACCTTAACTTAAACACCAAATGTATTCAGTACAGCAGCACAAAACTTTCATATGATGGTACACAGCTTTTTACAATTTGACACCTGAGAATCTATAACACTGGTACATTCATTTCAACAAAAAGTATGAACTTAAGCACAGGAAAAAAATTATAAAGTTCTATTAGAAAACTTGATCAAAACTTTGCAACATAATTACAATCATTCTCATTTTATAAAAATAAATGGCTTTACTATCTTCAAAACCTTCCAAACAAAATTACATTTTTATTAAGAAAATCATAGATTAAGATTCACGTATTTGACTTCATGTTCCTGAGCAACTTATGGTTTTCAAAAAATTTCATACAGGCTTTCATCCCTCACACTTAGGATATTTCAATAATGAAATGGCGATGAAAAGTTGTGACAAGATATTCCGAGGTATTGATGACAATCATTTCACTGGTTGATAAATCTGAGTTCATCTAGTGAAGCGTTTTCTCAATGGCCAATGGTTGATGCATTTGAGGTTTCTGCAGACAAATATTGAAGGATTACTCTCTCGGTCCAGTGGTGTGGGTAAGTCTCCCTAGTTAGCATCCCTGGTGAAGATGGGACACTTGGATCAGTGACTGGTAGTATGTGAGAGACCAAAGGATGAAAGAGGATCTTTGTGACTGGTGGCTGAGAAAGGTTTCTCTGCCTTGTAGTGGAAGAAGTATTTTTCTGGGCAATGACTGAAAGAAGGTCTCCGTGACAAGAAGCTGATGGAGAAGGATCTCTGGTCAGTGGTTGAAAGAGTAGATCTCCCTGGATCAGTGACTGGAGTAATCCCTCTCCAGTCAGGGTCATGAAATGTAGATCCAATTGGATCAGAGACTAGTCGATGACCCTCTTTGCTCAGCGACTAGTTGGATACCCTCTGGTTTAGTGACTGGTGGAGTAATCTCCTAGTTAGTGGTTGGTAGGGTAGGTCCCCTTGGGTCACTGACTGGTGGAGTCATCTCTTTCTGGCTAGTAGTGTGAAGAGTAGGTCCCCTTGGGTCATTGACTGGAGGAATACTCTCTTTCTGGTTAGAAGTGTGAAAAGTAAGTCCCTTTGGATCAGTGACTGGTGAAGTAATCTTTCTCTGGTCAATGGTGAGAAGGGTAGGTCCCCTTATAAAAGAGGCTGAAGAAGTCTTTCTCTGTTTAGTGGTTGGTAGTACAAGATCCCTCATACAAGAGGGTGAAGTCTTTCCCTGGTCTATGGGTAGAGCAGTAGTAAGGTCTCCCTGACCAGTGGTTAGTGAAGTAAGGTCTCCTTGACCTGTGGAGGATGAAGTAAGACCTATTTGGCCAGGGGATAGTGAAGCACTGTCACCTTGAAAAGTGGTTAATGAACTAAGGTTTATCTGGCTAGTAGTTGGTGAAGTTAGTCTTAGATCATTGGTTTGCAGAGTATGGTCAATCTGGCCAAGAGGAAGCTCTGAGTTGACTTGGAGGCTCTTGGACTGACATGTTTTGATTAATTCAACTGCTGGAATCAAGGCATCATCTGGTGGTTGAATATATTCAATTATCAGTGGAAATTCCTGTTTTTGGACCTCAGTCTCTGGCTTGGTCACTTCCATGATTTTATCACTAAAGCTAAGGCTGTCATGAACTTTCGACCAGAGCTTTTCATACATACCATCAAACTTTTCCAAGTTTGCCCTCCTCACTGCAAGAAACTGAAATATAAAAATAAATTTGCTAAAGATGCTAGATTTCTTCATTACATGAAAGATGAAATTGAAAGAGAGGTGCCAATGACTTAGAATTTTTTAAGAAATTGCATGACAAGAAATTAGTGAGGACAAGAAACCATGAGCATAGCTCTGCTTCTGCAAGTACAAATAGGTACTTACAAATACATGTGTGAGCAGGGTAATATTTAGTGAAAGGATTCAGGGAAACCGGTTATTTTATATAACCGGACTTGAGTCCTGGAAATGGAAAGCACAATGCCTGCACTCTAAAGGAGGGGTTTGGGATACTGGCAGTTTGGAGGGATATATTGTGTATTTTTATACATATATACTTCTAAGCTGTTGTATTCTGGGCACCTGTGCAAAAACAGTGATTATGTGTGAGTGAGGTGAAAGTGTTGAATGATGATGAAAGTATTTTCTTTTTGGGGATTTTCTTTCTCTTTGGGTCAACGTGCCTCGGTGGGAGACGGCTGACTTGTTGAAAAAAAAAAAATTATTACAAAGAGGTACATGCAATTACACACAATTTTTTTTTAGCAACAAACCAACCGTATTCCACCATGGCAGGGTGACCTAAAAATAAAAACAAGTTTCTCTTTTTAAAATTAGTAATGTATACAGAAGGGGTTACTAGCCCCTTGCTCCAGGCCTCTTACGATAATCATGGCTTACGGACGAAGAATTCTGTTCACTTACCCACGGATAATAATATCTTTATTTCTACAAGTACATGTGCAAGGTATACAGGTCTAGCTAATATCAATGACATACTATATAGGAAGCCACTTGTTATGCAGAGCATTCTGAGGAAATTAGATCAGTTTTGTCCCAGGATGTGACCCACACCAGCCGACTAACTCCCAGGTACCCATTATTACTGATGGGTGAACATGGACAACAGGTGTAAGGAAACACGCCCAGTGTTTCCACCCCTTTGCCGGGAATCAAACCCGGACCCTCACTGTGTGAGGGTCTGGGCTTATTTCCTCCTCTGGCCACCAGGCCAGAGGAAATAAACAAGAACTATTAAGAAAATAGAAAACACAGAGGGGTATGTATGCATGTGCATGTACATGCATGTGTAGTGTGACCTAAGTATAATTCAAATTCAAATTCAAAGTTTATTCTCTATAAGGATTACAATGCTGAGTTTACAGAATTTGGTTATTGTGTGGTTTACATGTAGTAGAGTACGAATTACAGAGGGTGCCACTAGAACACCTAGCATGGCCTACCAAATGCTTCTCAATTACTCAAACCCACACTATTTGCTGATGACACAACATACGTCTTCTCCCACCCGAGCCCAGTCACGCTAGCCAATACTGTAAATACCGAATTACAGAAAATATCTACCTGGATGAGTACTAACAAACTTACACTAAACATTGACAAAACCTACTTCATTCAGTTTGGTAACAGAGCTACAGATGTCCCTCTTAACATAATGATAAACGGATCACCTATCACAAAGCTAACAGAGGGAAAATTCTTAGGAATCCACCTTGATAATAGACTCAAATTTCATACACATATACAACAAATTTCTAAGAAAATTTCCAAGACTGTAGGCATACTATCGAAGATACGGTACTATGCTCCACAGTCAGCCCTCCTGGCCCTATATCACTCTCTTATTTACCCCTATCTCACCTATGGAATTTGTGCATGGGGCTCAACAACAAGTAACCATCTCAGACCACTAATTACCCAACAAAAGGCTGCAGTTAGAATGATAACAAATTCTCACTACAGGCAGCACACTCCACCAATATTCAATACACTCAACCTACTCACCATACAAAACATCCATACTTATTACTGCACCTATTACATACATAGAACACTCAACTCTGATATTAACCCTCCCCTCAAACATCTCCTTGCCAACCTCAACAGAACACATGACCATAACACAAGGCACAGATCACTCTTTGATATTCCTCGTGTCCATCTCACGCTATGCAAAAACTCAATGCACATAAAAGGCCCTAAAATCTGGAATTCATTACCTGTAAATATAAAAGAAACACTACCTGTTTATAAATTCAAGTCTCTTCTCAAAGATCACTTACTCACCCAAAACCAAATAAATACTGAATAACTGAACCTTATAAATTGTAATCTTAAATGTTTCTCACAATTATATCACATAAATGTTAAACCTAAAACCCAATCTAACTTTATTATTTTTTAAATTCACTACCTAACAGAATACTCCATTCTACTGAATTTACAACAATGCATGCAACCATATGACCTGTCTTTGTAATACTCACTTGTGCTTTATAGTAATCAGTTTACATTAATGTTTTTCACTGATTTCATCATTGCTTAGTTAATCTTAAGTTAATTTTAAGCCAGCCCGTAATGCTATGCATAGTATAAGTGGCTTTGGCATGCTGCTCTTATCTGTATTTTTTTTGTACCTCTGTAAGTGTGCTCAAATTATAAATAAATAAATAAATAAATAAATAAATAAATGGCTAGGCATTTCGGGCAGACTTAGATTAATTCTTAAATTTAAAATATTACAAATTATGAGGTAAGTTGGTATTATGGCTAAGTGACTAAATACTAGTTTGTGAGTTTAGCAATGTGAATGCTTTTGTTTTGGCACAATACATAGTTTCAGTATTGGAGTATCACAGGCCAACTTATGACTAGTTAGGAATCATTATTTTAAGATTGAGATTGATATTTCTGTTTATGGTCAAATGGGTGAGTGAGTGTAAGTGTGAACCACCAGGTGGTATTCGTGTAATTAGTTGACGGGGTATATCAGGGAGATAAGATGTTTTCTAATGGTAGTTTTAAAGGTGATGAATGTGTTTGCAGTTCTAGAGTTTTCAGGTAGGGTGTTCCAGATTTTAGGGCCTTTGACATACATTGAATTTTTGTAAAGGTTTAGTCGGACACGGGGAATGTCATAAAGATGTTTGTGTCTGGTGTTATGCCTGTGGGTTCTGTCAACTATCAAGAAAGCATTTTAGGTCAAGGTTAATATTGGAATTTAAGGTCCTGTAGATGTAGATTGCAGAGTAGTAAGTGTGGATGTACTGAACAGGGAGTAAGTTTAGATCTGTGAAGAGTGGAGGGGGTGTGTTGCCAGGGATGGGATTTAGTGATTATTCTTACTGCGGCTTTTTGTTGGGTTATTATTGGCTTTAGGTGTGTTGCTGCAGTTGATCCCCAAGCACAAATAGCATAGGTGAGGTATGGATAAATATGTGAGTGGTATAGTGTGAGAAGGGCATTTTGCGGCACGTAGTATCGTATCTTGGAGAGGATCCCAACCGTTTTGGATACTTTTTTGGTTATGTGTTGGATATGGGTGCTGAAATTCAGGTTGTTGTCGAGGTATAGGCCTAGGAATTTGCCCTCATTATGTCTGGCAATTAGAGTGTTGTCGATCTCAATGTTAATTTACGCAAGTCCTGCTCTGCTACTAAACATAATATAGTAGGTTTTGTCAGTGTTAAGCGTAAGCTTATTGGCTGTCATCCAAGTCGATATTTTGATCAGCTCCTCATTAACAATGGTGTTGAGGGTGGCAAGATTAGGGTGAGAGATGACATAAGTAGTGTCGTCAGCAAAGAGAATGGGGTTCAGGTGTTGGGATACGTTTGGAAGATCATTGATGTATATGAGGAAGAGCAGGGGACCAAGGACACTTCCCTGCGGAACTCCAGTATCAAGTGGCCGTGTTGTTGATGCTGTGTCTTTAATGGTGACATACTGATACCTATTAGTAAGGTAAGATTTGAGATATGCAAGCGCATGGCCTCTTATACCATAATGGTCATGTTTGTGGAGTAGGATGCCATGGTCTACTGTGTCAAAAGCTTTTCTTAGGTCAATAAGGAGAAGTAGCAAGATATACCTGGTATCCCATGTGTTTATAAGACAAAAAAGACATCAGCAATCCTACCATCATGTATAATAATTACAGGTTTCCATTTCACGTTCACTTGACAGGCTGGTAGTACCTCCCTGGGTGGCTGCTGTCTACCAACCTACTACCTAGGACATGTACAAATATCTACACATTTCAGGACCATAAAACTTTATCTATTTAGCTATTTCATACTGCAAATGTGTGACAGCTACCCCAGGTGAATATTTATTTAACATACCAGCTGTCTCCTAATGAGGTAGGGTGACCCAACAAAGAAGAAAACATTTTCATTGTCATTCATTCAATCAGCCTTGCCAGAAGGATGCTGATATCAGTTCAGATGACACTCCAAACTACAACATCCCCATCCCCAACAGGAATAATACTAGACACAAGTGTCTATGATATTCCCTGTGTCTGACTCAACCAGTGTAAAAAACTCAATGTGCATAAAATGACCAAAAATCTGTAACTCTTTACCTGATTATACACACTCCTTATCTGCCTATCACTTAAATACTTACCCTAATGTGATCCTGGCAATTTTTTATGTCTGAAACCCTGTCTTTCATCCAACATTGTCCCTGTTCTTGTTTCACCTTTCCTTAGACTCTCATTTATTACTAGATAGGCATATGCTTATTTTTTTCTTTTGTATCAATTCATCCTTGTAATTTTTATTGGAACTTTGTACTGAATTACTAAAATATATGATAAACTATGCATTCTTATTCTCGTGTATATTGCTATGATCTTATCTGCTACATATACATCTGAGTCATTCTCACTGAATTTATTTTAGTGTGAACATCATTAATGTCTTTACACAAATACTAAAAGACTATCTCGTCATTTTTATTAATTCAGCTTATTAGTTTCTCTCCTAATGTAAATTTTAATATTATTTTTATTTTGAATTAAATGAATAATTTTAATATTGTATAATCTAAGTGTTCTTTTTACCATGTTTCGTGATTTTTTATCTCCTTCATATACATTCGATCAATTTACACAATCTATTTTATTATTTTTTTATTAACACATCGGCCGATTCCCACCAAGGCAGGGTGGCTCAAAAAGG